CGTAAGCGGTTCTTCGAAAAAGTAACGTAGGTAAAAGAAGAAAGAAAAAAAAAAAAAAAGAAAGAAAGAAAGAAAGAAAGAAAAAGAGAGAGGAGATTAAAGTGAAAGTAGGTTTTCAAGGGGAGAAAAAGAAAAAAAACAATTAGGAAGAAAGTAAGCGAGGAAAAAGAATATGGGAAAAGAAGAAGGTAAGTTAATTTGAAGGATTGGAATTTCGAGGATAAAAAGAATAAATAGGGCGAAAAGGTGGATCAAAGCGATATAATAACAAAGGAAATAGCAAGTTGGGAAAAATTAAAAAATTTTAAAATATGATAAAGAGATGACCAAAGTTGCGATGAATCGTAATTTTTGCGATGAAAAATAATAAATGATCGAAATACGAAGCGAATGTGAAAAACGACGAACGATAAAATAGGAAATGAGAATATTCGTGATTATTAAATTTTCTCAACGGCAATTTTCTCAAAGTCTCGGCAAAGAATGGAACGGAGGAGTTTATACCGCGTAGCTTTTCACGCAACATTTTCACCGTCTCTGAACGTATACTTATTGACGGTCACGGAACGAGCGATTATTTACACCTTTTACACCACCAAGATCCTTTTCTGCGTTCTTGGATCTGTTCATTGCGATCTCGAATCCCGATCGAATCTCACTCGAATCAGATCCTCGACTGGACTGGAGATTATTCCTTCGATATTATCTTTGACTCGTATTTTTTTTTACAATGACGGTAATAACAATAAAGGTAAGATATTTTTTTTCTTTTTTTTTTTCCCCTTAAGTAGAGCGGTAATATTCTTTCGATTAAATTTTATTCCGCTTCAAAAGTGTTTGCGTTTGAAAGTTGACTCGGTTAAGAATCTTATTCTTACGCTTATCGTTATTTTGTCACTTTGCTTGTTATAAAAGTATTATACAAGTTGTCGGACAGTGATATATTATAACGTTCCGATAAGAAGTTCAGATTGACCTCACAGAATCAAAATAACTCGCGTGAAACATAATATCTTGATACATAGTTGCATCGAAAATTGTATTTATTTTATCTTCAAATTTATTATTCAAGAATCAAGTTGTTTTTACTTGTTTTTGATTTTATCTTGTTTTTTTTTATTTTATATCATCACGTTCGTGGTTGTCTCTCTCTCTCTCTCTCTCTCTCTCTCTCCTTCTCTCTCTCTCTCTAGTGCGATAGCTCGATACGTGTCAATTTTGTTTAAATTGATCGTTCAAAGTGATTAGGCTGTTACAACAATTATAAAAGATACGATATATTTGTCTCGAACGTATCGTAAATTTGATCAATCTCTAGAAATGAAATCAGGGACACGTTAAACGTGTTAAATAATGCGAATAATGCGTATTTTTTCAATTTAAAATCGATCGATGGATGATGTTTGCATCGCGAAAGACGTATCGAGAAATGTCTCGCGTTTTAATTTTAACGCTTAATGGAAAATTCTTAGCTTCGTCGGATCTTCTTCTTCTTCCGTCACGATTAACGCACTTATCTTGCGTGTGATTACGCATTATACAAGTTTGTTTTAAAAAACGGTTAAAAAAGGAGCAGCTTTATCAGCTTTAACCTGTTGCACAACTTCCAAGAAACGAGCCTGATCGAGAATGCTGTATACTACAGAGATATATATATATATATATATACTACAAAATAATTATGTATTACTTCGTTCTCGTCGAAATTTCTCATCGAAACGAGATTTTAAAACGACAAAATACTTTATAACGACAATTTTTCAAACATTTTATTCTTAATCGGTTAAGCAGCGAGTATTATTTTAACGAAAAAAAAAAAAAAAAAAAGAAAAAAATGTTCGTAAAAGATGATAATGCGAGTATTAAAAGCTTTTTTATTCAGCCACCAGTATAATAAGGAATATTATATATCATCCATTTAGAAGAAACGTAACGATGAAACGTATCAACGTTTATAGAGAAATTTTTATGCCGTATATTGTTAACACGACAAAAAGGATACAAAACCGCACGATGATGATAAATTTGAACGATAATAATATCGTGGCATATTTTTTCCAATTATTCGCAACGATAAATTACAACTACGATGTATTCCTCGAATACGCTGACACTGTTGAACGCGACAACGAAAAAATACAAATTCGTTCCAAGATAAATAATCTTGGTAAAAAAAAAATATTATCCGGCTTCGAGTTATATACGTTGAAACCCAATCGATATCTAAATAATCGAAATCATTTTCCCCGTTTAAAGACGCGTAGCGCGATCTACGATTTTTAAACGTATAGATATAAGGGTAGACGGAAGCGTAATTTAAAAGGGGGAAAAGATGGTAGTTTTGCAAAGCAGCCGATAAAACGAAGGATTAATCATCGATCTTAACCGTATTTCGCTCTTCAATTACATATCGGAATTGATGAACTGTGCTCGGTTAACAAGCTGGACTCGCGTGTTCGCACGTTGATCGCGTCTTATTTCCAAATGAAACGGTTCAAAAATGGAAAAAAAAAAAAAGGGCACCATGATTCGATGAGGAATTACACGGCGGCTCGGCTACCGATTTATCTTAATTATTTATCTCGAACACCGTTCCTCTATCATCGTTTCGATGTTCGGGTTTGGGTAAATTAATATAGAAATTTGGCGCGTATTCGGATTGGACAGGTAGCGTGAAACGATTGCATGGGAATCCGGGGCGAATCCGGGGATTTGGACAAACTTTTAACGAATGGAAAATTTTTCGATCACCTGAATGGAACGAATTGGATGAAAGGGGGCGAAAGAGGAGGTGGAGGTTGTTTGCGGAGGAAACGCTGGCGATAAAATTAATACGCGGTTATTTGATAAATTATGGGGAACGAACGATAGAACAGATGCGGGGAGAGGGGACAAATGAATAGTGTATAATGTGTAAATCGCGGCCACCGAATGAAAATAGGACAGGGATGGAATGGACAATTATTGTTCTTGATAAATTCATAGGATCCGCGAACTCCCGTCCAGTAATTGCTCGATATTTCACCGGCCTTTATGAAACGCTGCGCGCGTTTTACTAATCACCAGCGAATCGTTGAGATATCAACAACCTCCCGCTATCGAGAACGGCACGCTCTCTAAATTTTCCCCATTTTTCCAAAATGTTATAACGTTTCTAAATGTCTCTCCGATTCGATTATCTGACATTTAATTCAAAGCGAAAGTTTGTATCAAAAGTCGATCGATGGAGGTAGACATCCAAGGATTGATCACGCATTACTTTCTAAGGATAGGGTAGGCTCGCTTCGATTCGTTCGTTCGCCAAGAATTCGAATTTTCAACGAATTTTAATTCCACGTTTTTCCAAATTTTTGTTCGTACAAAAATTTTGATCGTTGAATCGTTCGATTCGTACGTAACGCTACGCAACGAAACTCGTTACGGTTTCAACGATTATTCGATATTTTGACATTTTGCCCAATTCGATTCGTCAACTAGTTCCTCTCTTTACACTTCATACGCGCACGTTCACCAGTCGATCTTACGACTCGTGTTTCGCGGAAATATCGAAACATTAACTCGCGAAACTCGTTTTCAAGTTTAGAGGCAATCCTTTACCGAATAATTTTCTCGATATTGCAACGCTTCGATGTTTTTCAATCTCGATGGATATTCGTTCGATCGCAATCACGACGGGACAACGTTTGTCGAAATATCGGGCAATTTGACAATCAAAACACGTTCGTAATTCTCGATCAGCAGAACTGAATCCGGTTTTCACGACCACGGAGATATCCAACGGCAGCATCAATGTTGGACGGGATCGATCTTTCATTCGTCTCTTTCTTCCGTTTCATTTTTATCTTTATTCTTTTGTTTACAGATAAACCATAACGTTGTAAAACGTTAAGCAAGGAAGGAAAGAAGGAAGGAAGGAAGGAAGGAAGGAAGGAAGGGTAGGCAGAGCGTATCTGGTTATGAGATCACTCGACATCCGGTTGCTGGACGCACAGAATGATCTGTCAATGGGAAGTGCGTTATCGCGATGCGCGTGGTACGTCATCCTCCCTTTTTCGTTCTCTCCCCCCCTCCCTGTCCTTCGCTCGTCTCGCCATTTCAATGGGACGACCCAATTTCGTGAAAATACTCTCGCGTCTTCTCGCGAGAAGAAACATCATCGTTGAAATGGTTCGCTTGATTGGAGTAATAGGCATGATGATCGGAAAGAGTTGCGAAACGAGGGGAGGCGGGGGGAGGGGGGAGGGAGGGGTGTGAGTGTGGGGGGACAGGGAGTGGCCAACAAAAAGAAAACGCGAGAACGAAATTTCAAGCGTTGAAATGTTAACACACGTATCTATACGCGAGGTATGACGATGATAAAATTATTATATTATATTCTCGTTCGACGAAATGACAATTTTATTATTTCACTCGGGTAATTTAACGCTAGATTTATATACACCTTTATCTTTCTGAATTATCTTTTCTGAATTATCGCGATTTTTGCATCTTTCTTTCTTTCTTTCTTTCTCTCTTTCTTCCTTCGCGTTTAATAAGAAAACGTTAAAAGTTATTCGGGGGAGGAAAGAGGAAAAATGATGGCAGCAGCAACCGCGAGGTATATTAGATCGAAGCGATACGAGGACGGAATTGCAGAACGGAAATGCTTCTCACCCTCGCATTTCGAGATACGGGAAGACGAGAGCGAGCGAACGCGTAGGACTTTGTACACTCGGTGTATCCGTTCCATGGCTGTTATCACCTTTCGGTGTCACCTTATCGCTCTGTAAAATTGCACCATAGCCGAGTCGACTCCATTGGATTCGAATCCAAACGGGGACGAGATCGATCCCGATCGATCTTCGATCGCGCGCGATTTTTCCGCGCAACAGGTAGCGGTGAAATTATTTATCTCCGTCGCGTGTTTTTTCTTTTTTCTTTTTTTTTTTTTTTTTACAAAGAGTCGTTGTTGTCGTTGTTGCACTCGTGTAACAGGGTGTGTGTCGAGTATTTTCCAATTGGAGAAGCGTGCGGAGAGCTTGCGGATCGATGCAAAAAAAAAAAAAAAAAAAAAAAGGGGAAGAAGAAAAGGAAAAAGAAATGGCAAACGGTAGGCAAGTTTGCGAGGCTATCGAGTAATGGTACGGGGTAGTGGTACAAAGTACGAATGTCACGAGGGGTTAATGGCGCGTGGGTTGGGTATCAAAGGAGGATAGCCAGAGAGAGAGAGAGAGAGAGAGAGAGGAGAGAGAGG